GTACAAATGGATAAACTAAAAAGTAAGATTGGAGGGATAATATATAACTTCAAGATGCTCTAGAAAACCACAATAATCAGACTAGTGTGATAATCTTAGGTGAGCAACAGATGAGCAGATTATTAAAGTACAACTCAGAGTCCAGAAATGATCCCACATACATGTGGACAATTTTTAATCAAAAGTATAAAGGCCATTCAGAAGAGAAAGGCTAGTCTTCTCAATAAATGATGCTGGAATAACTGGGAATCTCCCTCTAAAAAAACAAAATGATCTTAGCACATGGATTATAAATGTAGGCACTTAGCCTAGCAGATAAGATAGTGTTAAGGATGCCTGCATTCCATATCAGAGGGCATGGCTTCAAGTTCCAGATCTGCTGCCAACTCCTGCTTGCTGCTTATGTGCATCCTGGGAGGCAGAAGGTGATGGCTCAAGAAGGTGGGTCCCTGCTGTGCTCATGAGACCTAGAATGGGCTCTTCTACATTCAGCCTGATCCAGTCCTAGCCATTGCAGACACTCGGCGAGTGAACCAAAGGATTTCTCTCACTTGGTCTATGTCTCTGGATTTGATTAATTAATTAATTCTTTAAAAATTTTAAATGGATCATAGGACTAAATGTAATGAGAGTTTTAAAATTATGAGAGTTCTAAGAATACACATCGGAAATTACTTAACATTTGGATGACTAGAGTACAGAGACTGGGGAAAGTGGGAAAGACAAAAGTGCAAATATTCAAAGAGATAATGGCTGAAATTTTTCCAAATTTGGCCAAAAAAAAATTTCATAGGTTCAAAAAGCTTACTCTTCAAACAGGATAAAGACCAAAAAGGAAAAAAAATCTGTGCTAAGACACATCAAAAACGTCTAAAATCTAAAGAAAAAAAAGTCTTGAAAATAATCCAAAAATATTGATACCTCATTTGAAAAAGCAATTAAATAGCAGCATATTTCTCATTACAAACCATCAAGCGAAGTAGCAAAACATTTTAAACATAAACAAGCATAATAAATCATAAAACATAATAAAAAAAGAATTCAAGCATTTGGGAAAGCAACTAAAATACTACTTGGGATGCCCATATCCAATACTGAAGTGCCTACATTGAGCTCAGTTCTGAGTTCCAGCAGCAATACTACTGCATAACCTGAGACCCACTACTCAAGTAATTAGGTCCTTGTTATCCATATGGAAGACCCAGCCTGAGTTCCCAACTGCTGGCCCAGACTCAGCTGGTGTAAGCATCTGGGAAGTGAACCAGAGGATGAGAGATCTCTTTGTATCTCTCTCTCTCCCTTTCAAATAAATAAATTAAAATTATACCAAAAGAAATTATCAGATGAGAATTTTATACCCAGCAAAAATATCCTTTAGAAATATAGAAATAAAGGAAAAAATAAAGCCATTCTCAGAAGAAGGAAAACAGCAGTTGTCACCACAAAAGCTACTCTGAAAAATAAACAAAAAAACTGCTAAAGAAAATATTGCATCAGATAAGAGATAATAACAAGGAAAATTTTGCACAACAAGAAGACTAAAAAAGAGCAGAAACATAAGTTTAAAATATAAATAAACATAATATAAAATGTTCACATAAATATAAGCAAATAAACATTTCTCCTACATTTCCTAGATTATGTTTGATACTTACAGCAACAACTATAACACTGATATGGCTTTCAATGTGAGTAGAGGATATGTGTGGGTAACTATGTTACAGAGGAAGTCAAGAGAAGGGGTTTTTATGAGAGGGAGGTTTGGATGTGACCGTAAAAGGAACCTTTACAGTTATGGTGCGATCATAAGGAGCACAGGGAGACCTCTGTAGTTACGGAATACTGTGGTAATGGTGGTTAAGCTCACCTGCACAGGTACATATGCACAGGTCATCAACGCCAGCTTTCTGATCTTGATGTCCTGACATATGTCCATGTCGGGAAAAACAAGGTGGAAGAACAGGACTCTCTCAGTGGTATGTTTGCAATTTCCAGTAGGAAATATAACTTTTTCAAAATCAAAAGTTAATTTAAAAAAGAAAAAATTTATGGAATCATCCCCTCACTCCCTACTCAAAGCAATCCTTGATAAACAAAAAAGGGAAAACAGCAGGTAAACCCCAAAGTGTACTGTGTAAGTGGCAAAACAGTATACAGAAACTATATTAAGTGACCTTAAAACACAGAAATTTGATTCTGTGTCCGTGATTGGATATCCCTACAGACAAAAAGAATTGCAAAAGAAAAGAAAAGAAAAAAAAAAACACGTTTCCAGGAATCTTGCTGTTATTGTGTGTGTGTGTGTGTGTGTGTGTGTGTGTAAGAGACAGCAAACGAAAGAAATGATGCAGCATTGATACTCAGAACTTTTTTTAGAGAAACAAAGGATTAAGAAAATCAAGTAAAAACTGTACACTTACTTGAATTCAACTGGAAGTATTAGTAACACATTTTTCTCTTTAAAAAAAAAAATCTTACTTTTCTAATCCTCATCAAAAAGGTCCAGAAACAATGACCAATCCAAGAACAACAAAAACCACCAGCTTATGGCCTCCAAATAGTGTTTCCTACAGAAAACAAATGGTGTTGCTAAGAGAAATGACTAATCCGAGTCTGGGGCAGGAAGTATACAAGGTAAGCCTGACACATTTTTTCTTCATTTTAGGATAGCAGGGAGGCTTTCAGAAACTACTGGGATTGTTTCACAATACCAGACTGGCCAGAACTGCTTATCAAAGACAGGATAACTGAAGCATTCTAAGAATACATTTTCTGTAGATTCAGAATATATGGAACAAAATAACAACTCTCATTAGCTACTTTTTGAAACTACTAGGTATGGGCCCAGCATGGTAGTCCTCACCTTGAACACCGGGATCCCATATGGGCGCTGGTTCTAATCCTGGCAGCTCCACTTCCCATCTAGCTCCCTGCCTGTGGCCTGGAAAGCAGTCAAGGATGACACAAAGCTTTGGGACCCTGCACTCATGTGGGAGACCCAAAAAGAAGCTCCTGGCTCCGGATGGGTGCAGCACCGGCAGTTGCGGCCACTTGGTAAGTGAATCATCGGACAGAAGATCTTCCTCTCTGTCTCTCCTCCTCTCTGTACATCTGCCTTTCCAATAAAAATAAATTAATCTTAAAAAAAAGAAACTACTAGATAAATTTGTTATTTTTATGAATACTGTCAAATAAAGATAGGAAAAAAAATCCTTTTCTTGCTTTTCGTCTGTGTACTGTAGCCCCCACTAACCAAAATTTAAGAGAAAATGTTTGTCTTTACAGAAGTAACAAAGCTAATAAATTGGGGGGGAGGGGTGATGAAAACCTCCAAGAAAATATCACCTATTGGCAACTTTTAATGGAATAAAAAGACTATAGACAATTATCAAGGGCTGCTAACATTGGCAGAGGAGAGATAAGGAGCCCATATGAGTCTCCTGATGAAAGTACACATCACCACTTAGGAATTATTCTTGCCACACACACACACACACAAAATGAACCTGCCTGAGTCTCCAAACCAAGTCACACAAATAACACTACGGGGATGTAGTCAGGGAATTCAGATTCCAGGAAATCCTGCAGTGCCAACAGCCAAGCTGCTTCCACAGACACCGTGTAGGAAGGAAGGAGAGGCAGACGCATAGAGACCTACTGAGTTTAAGAGACCTGAGAGACACATCAACCCATTTCAAAGCCAGGACCCTGTGTGGATCCTGATTTAAACTACGGGGAAAAAAAAAATCAATGTTTGTGTTATTAGTCTGTTGATTCTTTGCACTTTGATAACAACTGTGGGTGTGTTTCTGTTTTTGTTCTAAGTTTTGATCATTTGGAGATACAGAATGAAACATCTCCAGATGAAATAACACATTGTCTTGGATTTGCGTCAACATAATCTGGGGCCAGGAAGGAAAGTGGGAGGTGAAGACAAATAACACAAGATTGTCCATCAATTGGTCATTGTTGACACTGGGATACAGTGAAGAGAAGCCTTCTCTTGGACTTTTTATTTTTATATGCATTTGAAATTTTTCAAAAATAAAACTTGTTTAAGCAGGTGTTTGGTGCAGCAGCTGAGAACACTAGTTGGGAAGCTTGCAAACCGTATCAGAGTGTGTGCATTTGCATCCTGGCTCCACTCTGGATTCCAGCTTCCTGCTAATGCACGCTCTGGAAGGCAGCAGTGAGGGCTCGACTAGCTGGGTTACCAACACTCATGCGGGAGACCTGGACTGAGTATCTGGGGAGTGAGCCAGTCTCTCCCCTCCTCCCTCTCTCTCTCAAAAAATAAATAAATAAATAAATAAAAGCAAAACAAACAAAAAAACAAAACCTTTTAAAAATAAAATTACTAATTCAAACCCACCTGTCTTTATTCTATTTTTTTGTTTGTTTGTTTTGTTTGAGTCTAAAACACTGGTGTATAAATGCAAGCATTCACGAGGCATGCATATTACAAAAACACAGGGCATGGATTTCAGATTTTGTTCTCACCAAAATTATCTTCTAATGTGATTTAATCTAAGATTTTTAATGTTTTCTCATAACAGTGACAATAATATCAATAACAGCCCAGCTACATGCTAACTCACCTGACTGATGAGTTTGTCAGGAATGTTTTTGTTTAGTCCAGAGAAAATCCTAGACAGTGATGCTGTTTCTACACACATTTCCTGAATACAAGGGACCTGGGGGCAGCGACTGGGTGAAAGCCCTTGCCCCCAGATCTTCGTGCAGATTCCCAGCCTGTGATCAACAACAGACAGGTGAGGCCTGCTCAGCTGGCTTTCTCTTTTGGGATAAAAATCTTGAGTGTCTTCTCTTCCTACTTGGAGCTTCAGTGGAAGCCCCCATCCTTGCTTGTCTCATTCCTCGGGGTGTCTATTAAAGCAGTTGAGTTTTCAAAAGCTTGGAGGACCTTGCGCTGTTGCCCTACTCTTCCCCGACTCCCATGCTCCCTCCACTTCCAGCCAGGCAGGAGTGGCGTGGCTCACCTGGGCCTCGGTGCCTCTTCTCCATCCAGATGTAGCAGTTGTTCTGGGCCACCCCAGTCTGCGAGTCCAGGAAGGGTAATCGCACACTACGCTCTGCGCACAGCCTTGAGTTGTAACTCCGGCAGTGCTCGATGGCTTCCTTGTAGAACTGGTCCCCAAGCCTGCCAGGGAGAGGGAGGAAAGGAGTGAGGTTGTGGTTCAAGGGAGACAGAAACAGCCCCAAAGACAAACTAATGCCCGCCAACTCCACCCATCTTGTGGGAAGAATCTGCAAGTATGAAGACGAAGGCAATGAACACCAAGCGCCAAAGTTAGCGTCAGGCCTCCATCCAACAGGTTCTATTTCCTATCCACCAGACAACCAGCAACCCCATAAACACAGACTCTGGAGCCACAAAGACAAGCCACCAGTTATAGAGACAAGTCCATCTTCTAGGAAGCTCCAAATGGAAGTCTCTCCAGAACAATCTGCTCCATGAGGTTTGCTTCCAGAGTCCCTTAACCGCCCTCTGTCACCAGTAGACATCCAGATGCTCGGAGTCCTATCACAACGAGAGAGAAACACTCCTTCTAAACCAAGGTTGCAAGAACGCAGGGAGCATCCTGTAGAGTATCACTTTAGAGAATCATGATATGGAAAAAGAGGCAAAAAGGGACACCTGGCACTTTGAAATGACATTCTTAAAGAAAAATTACTTCCTCTTACGGAAAACAAACAAGAGTACCATTTAAAATAATAGTTCAGCTCAGAATAATGCAACTGCTGGAGTTTAAAACACTAAGAGCAAAACTTTTGTGGCTGGCTGGAGTGGTGATCTTTGATTAAGTTCAGGACACACTATGTCCCCAAGTCTTTGGGATCCACAAACACAGGGTAATGCAAATTTTAACAGTGTCCTTTCAAAGATTAAAAACATGTCATTGATATAACTGATTGCATGCAACGTACAAGGCTAATCAGTAAGATCAAAACATAACAAACAAAATATTGGCACATGATGCATGTTATAAGAGGTACCAGGAAATAGAAATGTAACAACTTTGCCAATTAAAGTTGAACTTCATAGGTAGGGGAGGTGACACGGGAACTGGAGGGGCAAAGAGAAAACAGGGTAGCTCATTTTGAAGCAGCAATATGAATGTCCCCTTGTTCTGGCTCTATGTAGATTTGATAAAGCAGAAATTTACAAGAGAAAAGTCTCTAGGGTAAAAATCACATGTTTCATAAGGACAATATAATCAAGCAAATGCTGGGGTTTTTCCCACATATAAAATTTATCATCTTAATCATTGTCAAAGTGTATAGTTTGGTGTTATTACATATCTTCACGTGGTGGCACAACCAACACTACCATCCATCTCCAAAACTCTTCATTTTCCAAAAGTGGAACTTAACCCATTAAACATACTTCTTCCCAGCCCTGGAAACCGACATTCTACTTTCTGTGTCTCTGAAAATTATTCAGGCTGAATAATACTCCATCCTACGCACGGACCACATTTCACTTACTGATTCACCTATGCTTTGAATATTGTGAATAGTGGTGCTGTGGATTCCAGGAATACCCCTCCAAGTCTCTGCTCTTCATTACTTGGGGCATATGTCTAGGAGTGGAATTCTTGGCTCATACGGTAGCCTCACTGTGAGTCTGCCAAGCAACCACTGCACTATGTTCCATAGTGGCTAGCATTCTCACCAAGGGTGCAACAGGCTTCTAGTTACTCAATGTCATCACCACTATTTGTTAGAAAGCAAAGTTTTAAATGATCTTTTTCAATACTAACTTTTAGAAAGTCAACAAGTCAGATTCTATCAGGGTCCCAAACAAATACCTTACTATGGAAGAACACAATCTTGGAAACTTCTGAGACACCATGTGGATATTAACTTCCTGACAAGTATCTGGAAATACAAAGGGTGGTTCTTCTTCCACCTCTAAAAATTCTCACATTCCCAACAAAGGTCCAGCATGCTCAGAAAGTCTCCTAGCAGTGATGGAGTCAAACTATAATCGAACTACAACAGTCACGCAGCTGGAGACAATTTGGGGAGGGACGGTGAAAGCCCATTGAAATGTTGCTATAAAATGAATGATGCATAAGTTGATGTAATCAATGCTGGTGACAAAGGTTACAAAGACTGATTAAAAGTAATCATTTTTTTTTTCTACAAAATGTTCACCTGTATCCCACCAGCTTCTATGCCTCTTCTGTCTAGCTGATTTGGTTCAAAGGGGCAGAATTTTATCAGCAGTTCAGCCCTGGCAGGATGACTGACTCAGTAGGGTTGCCAGACTGCTCCGACTCCCCTTCAGGAGGCATGCTGACCACACCAGCCACACCAGCCATGCCAGCCATGCCAGCCACCCTGCATTGAAGACAACTAACAAGAACCCCTGATGGAGAGGTGTCTGAAGTGACAAACAGCCATCAGGTTTCCCAACCAATTTTTGACAGTCCAAAAAAGATGTGCTTAACTCTTTCAAACCAGGAACTCGGATGAACAAAGGCTCTATAAAAATTCGGTCCAAAAAAAAAAAAAAAAAAAAAGCTAAAAGAAAAAAATATACACTAAAACTCACCTACTGAGAACAGGGTTTCCAATTTTCAAAAGAAACTTCTGGAAGCCTAAATAGCAGAATTCTACAACAGCATTTCAAACTGGACCTTTGGTGATAATGCTAGCAACTTGATTTTAACAGCTTCAATCCACACAAGAGGAGTGAGAAAATGAGCTTGCTGAGACAGCCATGTGGTACAGCAGTCATGTCCCTCCTTAGGGCCTCTGTGTTCCATCACGGAGTGCCTGGTTCAAGCCCAGCTGTTCCTCTCATCTTGCTAATGCATACTTTAGGAGATAACAGGTGATGCTTCATGTACTTGAGTCCCTGCCACCAACATGAGAGACTTGGATGGAATTCCAGGCTCCTGGCTTTCACCTTGTCCGGCGCCAGCTGTGCAGGCATTTAAGGGGTAAGAAACTGAATGAAAGCACACACTCTCTCTCTCTCTCTCCCTCCTCTCTTCCTCTCTCCCCTCTTCCGAATAAAATGAAAATAGATAACTTTTTCAAAAGAAAGTGAACTTGCCAGAAATGAAAAGTGAAGGTGGCAGACATCTATGCCCCCAGGCAAAAATTCATTTACTCCCAAATGATTTCTACTTCCATAACATGAAGCATTATTAGTAACAGAAATGCTGGTGTGGTGGGGGAGGGACGTATATTCTTAAATGTACTCTTTCTTTCGCTGATATCTCTCTTACATAAGCAAAAAAAAAAAAAAACCTTCTGTACAACTTTATTAAAGACTGAAGCTGCAAAATGGTAACATCCGACAAAAGCCCCTCTGCCATCATCCCAAGGGAAGTCCCTTTCAAACAGACCTGCTATTGGCAGATTTGGAAACGCAACTTTAAAGCCTTCCCAAGATAAGAGAGAAAAGAAGCTCCTTGATAAACCCAAGGCGCCCTCCTCCAAAAGTTAATTAGCCAAAATCTTCACTGGGCTTGCTGTGCTGTTAAGAAGAAAATTGATGGCCAGGTGTCCCTAACCCATGGAGAGCAATTTAAACAAGAATGTCAGATGGCCTTTCCAATATGATTTTTCTACCAAAAAGAAAAAAAACAAAAAACAAAAAACAAATAAGGCCATAATGATAGGGCCTCAAGGATAACAATAGCAGTGAAGGTGCAGAGGTACAGGGAACAAGGAAAGGAATGCCTGGCAGGAAATGATTCCACTCATTTTTGTGGAGCAGTGTCCAGCATCTGCTAGGCTGGATCAGGCATGGCCCAGTCTCAACTACCACCTGTCTGTATCACACACAGGAGCCTGGATCATCAAGCATGATCGATACCTAGGGCTCGAGGTGGCTGGCACGAGGCATGGCAGACTGATATTCTCATCAACAGCTGACTTGGGGCTACTCAAGGCTGCAATCAGAAACAGGAAGGACAGGCAAACAAATTGTCCAGCTCTCTGCGCGGCCTGTTGATTGGAGCAGTGCTGGCTGCCTGTTCTGGTGTGCCTGAGCAGGGGCAGGGCCATGTGCAGGTGCAGGGAGGGAGCCACAAACTCCCTGAGAGGTAGGCATTCCTACAGACCTGCCGCCAAGCTCCCTAAAGAGGATTCAGAGTGGGAGGAATGGGACCAAAATTACTGCCAACAGACCGCAGACGTGACTGTCAGGGCCTGTCACAGCCCCCACTACCCTCCGCTCCTCTTCCAGCTGCTGCTCCACGACCTCATCTGCTCTCTCGGATGAGCCTCCCATCCAGCATGCCAACCAAACATCAGGACTCTTCTGTAGTCAGAGCCAAGGACAGGTGTGCCACAACTCAGCCTTGGGGGAAGCCAGCTCTCTCCTCAGTCGTCCACTACTCTAGGGCTGTGGGCAGGGCCAGACACAATGCCACCCCTCATATCTCCCTGGCGGCTGTCCCTGCCCTTCCCACCTTCGGCCCCTTCTCAGCAGCTGCCCCTTTCCCTCCACTCCCGCTGTGTGGGGCCCCTTTTGCTGCAAGGGGGGAGAAAATGACCTTGGCTCCTCAGACTATTTGCACACAGAGATAAAGACAGACAAACAACACCCTGGGACACACAGGATTTCTTGTTCCCTCTGCCCCCAGGGGCACCCTCCTCCTCTCTCAGCACCTGGTTTCCCTGCTGCCTCCCCCAGTTGCTCCACAGACATCCACAAACACACATGAAAGCTCATCTACACCAGAATGCTCCTGTCTCATTCTAAGTGTGGCATGGAAAGCTCCGACCCTCGTTTAGTTTTCCATGACTGGCAAGCAAGGGACGATATTTGGCAATGTGGGGGAAACACTGTACTGTTCGTAAAGCCAGCAAGAGGGAAAACCAAGTTTAGTGTATATTATACACTGAAACGCATCAGGCACCAACACCCCACCATGAAAGGCATCCATTAGAGGGTACAGCCCAGCAGCCCTGTATGCCTGCTCTTTCTCCTGGTTCACCCCAGAGTCCAAAACATATTGGGTACCCACTGAAAAACAGCTCATTATCCTCACCTAGTGTAGGCAGTTCAACTAGAGCAATGCAGTCTATACGACACATTGGTATTGTGTGCAATCTTCAGAGCCTACTGCACATATGGGCTGGTGATCCAGCAACTTTAGAAGAAAATGAAGTCAG